CCGTAATTATTCGATCTGGCGCCCGAGGAGCTTATTTTCTTTTGGTTCCCCGAAGGAGGGCGCTTATTCGAAACGGGGAGCTTATTTTTCCCCTAGGAACAGCAGAATGTGCGAAGAAAGCTTGGATTCCATTTAAAAGGATCAAGAAGACAGGGAAACGGACTTGTTATCCCTGGATTCCCACCGGTTAGAACAACCAACCAAGCAATCGTTGCAAAATGTTAAGACGTGATCATTCGTTTGAAGGAACTTTACTCTTACATGAACATGATAGTTGAGAAACTGAGAAGAAGATCACTGTTTCTGTAAGGAGGCTTTAAACAAGCAATTGAAGTCAGATGAACCACCATTGATCTCAATGTACGCGTAGTCTAACAGTGCTATTACTGAGACTATAGGGGCGCTTATTAGAATAGTGCTGCTTATTAACAAAGCAATTGCGAGGGAGACGCATTGGAACGAGGACGCTAAATCGAATCATTACGGTACGCTCTTAGAGAAACCTGAGAGTTTCGATATGCTTTTAACACATATAGTGACGGCAGAATGTCATGTAAAATCCGTGCCTTATTGTGGGTCTTCACTTGTGAAACTCAGTTGTCTTCAAAACTTTCTTTGCTTTTGTCGGCCACTACAGAGACGCAATACTCCTTATTTGACTTCCTTATTGAAATTGTAGGACATGCCATTTGATTGGCTCTCAGCTTCTTCCTTCATATAGGGTCATCCTGTTAAACTCAATGTACCGTATTTCAGACCTTGCTAGTTTCACAAATTTAGCAGCTCTCTTGGGCATTAGTCACAGATTAAAATGGTAAAATACTCTCTCTTCAAACATATTTTATCCTTAAAGTTTTCACAATGTGCAGATCACGTCTATTTGGTTATTTCTACAAGGAAAACTATTTTTTTAAATTACTCACTAGAGATGCCTTTGTTTCACGGCAAGAATTGGAAAAATTATATCATAATTTGCTGATTTAAATCATGAAATGTTCTCTCTTTGAAGTAAAATGTTTCCTTGAGGATGTGCCCTTCACACTTATTAAGATATTTCTGCAAGGAAAAGTTTACTTTTAGTCATGCACCATCCTGAAATGATTGTAAGATGTTTGTCTTCTTCTGTGGTGTCAATGGGCAATAACTGAGAATATGGTATCTTGGGTTTTTTTAGGCACAAAATAATGTGTTTCAAAGAAATTTTTCTATCTTTAGTGTATGTTGCACCCAATAATCTCTTGTGCGAATGTTGATCCACCAAGATACCCTGAAAGAAACAAGTGACATCGTGTCAAAATTGGGTGAAATTGACATTCTGCTGTTACTTGCCATCACTCATTTTGATAACGTGTGGCTTTGCCTCCTATAGGAGGCATTAGCCATAAAAAATCATATGGCCAACGCACAATCGCGTTGTTTCTACTCTTTGACATAACATTTTTTATGGCTTTGTTTAGAGCAAATCCCAGCAGTCACATTATAAAACAGCCCTAGCGCAAGCAATTTTTTCGAAATTTATTTCTACAATTAGAGAAGTTCTCTTTTTCTTTTTTACTTTTATGACTTCTGGTGCTCATTAAGCCGTCGAATGCGACTTTACTTAATTCTGTACATACGCATGCTGTCAATGGGAGTGCTCTTAGATGGGGTATTACATAGATTTACTCATTGAGGATGGTTGAAAACTTATGGTATGTTCACTCTTATTCGTTAGTCCTTTTTTCCATCGCTATTTAACTGATGACAAGTCACTTGCCTTTTGTGCCACTCTGTCAGCTCGATGAATAAATAGCAAAAGGTTCACCCTTCACAACTATGGTTTTTCCTTACCAAAGTCGACTTTTCTTACCAGTAAAGGCCTATGGTGTTTATATACTAAGTGAAATAATACATAGTTACTTGTAGAATTGTGGAATTTCTCTTCTCGTCCGTATCTTTAAACTAACGTCGTAATTTGCCACTTATTAGGGCTGTGAATCAGTTATTGGGAGGCGGCTTTTCATTTGAAAATAGAGACAGGAGATTTCGACTTAGTTTATTTATCGTTAACTTGGCTGACGTACGTGTGTGGCGCCATAAAACAGAAACGGAAAGTCGAAGGCCTTTGAGAGGTGTACTCTCTATAATGGACCATCAGGATGTTCCAGGATTTTTTTAAAGACTTCTTCGGTTATTACGAATTAGTCCAGGAGCAAATGTATACAATTACAGTCCCTTGGGAATTTCTTGCTGAAAGCAAGCCACTGCACTAGATATGTTCAGGGGACCCTAAATAATCAAAACAGTGGTGTTGCCACTTTTGCAACCTGCTCAAACGCTTTTATGAGGATGTTTTAGAAATGCCCCTATAGACTGTGCATGAAAACGAAGCTACTATACAAACATCTTTTAACTTTGTTTATTATAGGAAAATAGGACCAAAATAGAACCAAACACATAAATCTATGTTCTCGCTGATGTCTTAAACGCACGTCCAGTAACTGGGCGCGGGCGTCACAAGATTAGTCACGCGACTTAATAAGCATGGAAGTGAGGCTGGTCTACTAAAGAATTTTTGAATTTCCAACAATGGCTAATATGCTTTGCTATACTTCATAAACAGCATAGAAATTTCTTTCAGCTCAAACTGTTCCTTTCCTAGTTAATGTGCTGGTCACGTGAATTTCAAAAAAATGAAAGCGAGGCTATAATAAATGGCCTTGCTTGAGAGTTCAATTATACCAAAAGAAAACTCACTATCATTTCTGAAAAAGTATTAGCGACAATATTACTCAGAAGTATGTAGTAACGACTCTGATCTTTCCGAAAAAATCAGGGGCAATGTGCCAGTTTTTCGATATACGTGGCTATCCTGTTTCTGTCGTTTAAGCGGGCCACCATACAACACTCACACAACCTACAGTTCATGCATTTGCTCTGACAAAGGGTTAACCCTCGAAATGTCGGCTTGAAACTCTTTACGATGGCCAATTTACGTTATCAACTCAGTTGATGGTATTCTATTACCCTGTTATACTCTCCCACCGACGCAGCACCACAGTTTCTTTAGAAACTTATCCCCTTTCTTCATTTCTCAGAAGTACACCTGTTGTTGTACTCCAGAGAGCCACAAGCATTCGAGATTTGATCATAAGTAAATCTTCCAGCAACTTGGAACTGGCAGTGTCCCTTTCGCAAAACCTAATCATTCAAAACATCAGATTCATATTTATCTTCTTATCTTATCTTTACCATCTTCTTCCTCGTCACTCTCATTATCATCACTAAAACCGTCGTCTTCATCATTACGCATAGTTTTACACGTTTCTCCACTATCTAAACACCCACATTTATCTGTGCAGTTCAGCCCACTCTTTCTACTCTGGCGGGGTTTGTGGAATACCACTCCCTAGCACACTTGCACTTTACAAGATGAATAATAGCCCGAGGTGCTGGAGGCAGTTTCTTTATCATTACAATTCAATGGTCACTATCCATTTCCAGCCAGAACTCTCTAGTCATGGCAGGATGGGATTTGCTAACACATCATTATTCCACAGTAAAAGTTGATAATGGACTCCTAAGATTGCTTTTTAAAGAGCAGCTTGGTTCGGTGGCAGCCTCTCCGACTGAGCTTTTTTCTTCCTAAAAAGCAATCATCTCAGTTCTGTCACAGAACATATTTCTGTCCTAGGGAGATAAAGCTGACACACAGGTCTCTTGATTGAAGCCGTAATCTCAGCCCCGGGAATCAAACCTGTACCTCCAAGTTCAGAAAGACCAATAATGATTTCAGCTTCCACGAAAGCTTTCCAGCATGTGGTTTCCCCTTTACCCAACAACAATCAGTGTTGTCTGCTCCTTTCAAAGCTGGGAGAGTGGTTGCCTTTTCGAGGCCTATGGTGCAAAAATTGGCCGAAGAATAATTTCTCAGTGGTTCCTTCCAGTAACAAAAGGGGTGTTCTTACAAATACTTAATAAAATAATGCCTGAGGACAAAGATAAAAACCTCTGTGTCAAGATCATGTCGTAACTCTGGCTGTAGTACCCATGGCATGTAAAATAATCTCCGTGTCTGCTCCCTCTTGTTTGCTTTGGAGCTGAGAAAATCTTGATCTGATGTGTCTGATTTCTGCTGCGTCACGATAATTTACCTGATCCCTCAAGAGGCTCCGAGATGAGTTATCCCTTTCTCATTGGTAGTCAATTATCTACAGGCTCCCCTTTATACTCTATTGGCAACAACGGATTTCCCCTCTGTTTTCTCCGAAAACCATGTGATTTCCCCCAAATCTTACAGTTTCAGCTAAAACAAATATCCATGCTGTCTATGAAGAATAGCAAAGTATTTTTAGTAGCCCAGCCTCACTTCCATGCTCACTTGGTCACGTGACAAATCTTGTGACTCACAGTTATCAAATTAAATATGTGTTTAAGCAGGAGCCCATCACTTGGTTTAAGACATCAACGAGAACATTGATTTATATCTTTGGTTCTATTTTGGCGCTATTTTCTTACTATAAACGAGGTTAAAAGATGCTTCATGTAGTAGCTTCGTTTTCATGCAGGGTCTTCAGGGGCATCTCTAAAACATTCTCTAAAAAGCGCTTTAGCAGGTTGCAAAAGTGGCAACACGACTTTTTTGGTTATTTTGGGTCCCCTGGATATATCTAATGTAGTAGCTCACTTACAGAAACAAATTCCCACAGAAGTACAAATGCTAGAATTAAAAAAATATAGCTCGTAGAAGCTTTAGATATTGAAATGATCATTAGTTAAGAATAAGTTTTACAGTAGAGCGCAGATGTTTTGAGTTTGGGAAATGACATACTCAAATTAGTATTTCCCGTCGGTTGTTTTGCATAGGTCATCGAGGACTGCTGCCTTGCGTGCGCAAACTTCCCGCGCTCCGGATTTTAGCCAATCAAATCACGCGGTGGAAACGTAACAATAGGTCTCAATACGAGATAGTTTCATCCATATGATTTCACATCATGTTTTTCCGCCCAGCGAAGTTTATCGATGGTTTGTGCCGAATGATATCGACAGTATCTGGTGGAAGTAACGGATTAAACGTGGCGTTGAATAAGGTAAGTCGACCACTTTCCCAGCATTTTGTAGAGACTTCTCGTTTTAATGGAAGAGTATGTGGCTAACTTGAGAGCTAACCCACGTTTTCTTCATAAAGGAACGGTAGAATTTTAGATCCATTAGGTGATGGTAAGATTTCCGCACAGCCCCATACTATTATATAAAATAAAGCCGTAGCCCTCAAGGCATTCTATCGTTTTCGTCATTGTTGAGCTGTATGCATGATGAAGAATGGTGTTGTGCAGAAATCTTACCGGTGAGCAAGATTTACGCACAGCCCCATACTGAGATAAAGAAAACCATGGCGGAAACAATAATTTGACCTTGAGACTGGTGCTTTGTTTTGGAATAGTTTGGATTGTACGGAAATCCTTCCGAGTAATTTGTCTCGCCAATAGTAATATATGCCTGTATCTGAATGAGAATCCTACCAGGGGATTTGCAGCCATTTGTTGGCTTGCACGACAATGAAATTTGATTTGGTCGATATGTTTTAAAATGTCGTTGAAATTTGGGTTCGATCTGCGAGGAACTGGGCGGACTTCATTTCCTTCACACTCCAATTCCAACCTTGTTCCCATTCTGCAGTGGCAGATCCAGGGGGAAGGGTCTGGTGGGTCAGAACACCCATAAGGCCTGTGAGTATTTTAAGTACTTGTCTGAAACAAAAATTATTCCATCAATACAATGGCATACATCTGGTTAATATGAAGCAGTTGATATTTACAGGTATTGAAAAAAATTCCTCTTTTGTCTCTGGAAAAAAATAACTGGAAATCTGTTTTCAGGCGTATGCAGATGGGAAATGTGAATGCATCTAACATAAGTCAGATGTTTGACTGTCTGATTACTTCTTGAACAGATTGCTTTATCACTGAGCTCAGCCTTTGTCGGTCTACCCTATTTTAGGCTAATTATCTTTGAGTAATAGACCCACAAAAACTAACTGACCTGCTTGATTGTGAATGATTGTGAATGTTTTTGTTCATGACTTTTCACTTAAACACCAACAAACTAACTCTTGATCATGGCAAAACACTACAAGATATTAAGAACACCCCTATCAAATCTGATGTATTGGAATTTTAATCAAGACCTTGAGTACTCTTGACAAAAGCTAGTTATGGACAGTGTTATTGCTCCTTAAAAGGACTCTTATCAATGCTTGCTAAGATTTTACAAGATTTGTATAGCTTCCTTTGTGGTCATATGCAATCAATTAACCCAACATTGTCAGCCAGCTATGAGAGAAATGATTGAACCTCTGATAGGTGAAGAACTACTTTGAATAATGTTGTGACCAATATTACTCTGCTTCAAATGTTCTGCTGCTAGTAGAGACAACAATTTTCTGTGATGCTTCTGTTTGATATTTTGGTTCACCAACAACATGTTTGGTCGAACATGTTTGATTTCAAGTGTATGGTCACCCAAGATTTCCTTTTGAATTCTGTCTTAAGACCTAAACTGTCATGCCCTTCACTTTAGACATGGCCATAATTTGTCGCCAACATACTGCAGCACTCCTCTTATAAAGGGTGCAGATTCTTCTGTTCTTGTGAAAAATTTATCTCAGAGCCCAGTCCTTTCTCATGATCAAGTGTGGGTTTATTGATTTGATGGCCACCACAAAGGTTATATCAGACTTGTGTAGCCTGCCATTGGAACATTCTCAATATTTTCTAGCTTGAGAAACCATTAAGAAACATTTTGTCAATTTTTGCAACTTACAGATTACATTGACTGTGAATTTACTGTCTAAGCAAACACAGGAGAAAAAAAGACAATCCTCTGAATTGTGTTTTTTTTTATCTTATGATCATCGAACTGCACTAGCTGTCAATGTGTTCTCAAGTTTCCTGGGAATGTGCCCTGAAGAAGGGGAGGTCTGTGTCTGAACTCTAGGAATCAAAATGACTTATTTGTTCAAGGATAAGTCTCTCAGTCTCCTGATACCTAGAATTGCTCCATAATGGCTGTGTACACATGGCAAAGCTGTGGAGTTTTTTTTCAAAATCCTGCTTATGTCCACCCTTTGTATCCTTCTTTTTAAAGATCACAGATAGGTTTATGGTCCATGGGGGTTGCATAGTCCTAGATAAAAAGCTGTAGTCTCTAGCTTCAGAATGCTGACCAGGCTGAGCTAGTTAAGGCTAGATTTGCTCCTCAACTATTTTGGATGGAGCAAAGTGTGTGTCATCTTTGATCTAGAGTTGCTGGAACTGTTACTTAGTTGAATAACCTCATTTTCAAGGTCAGATTTTCCTCATTAAGCTAGTGTTGTGTACAACCCGCATCTGTAGTACTCTTTTCATAGGCTTTACGAGTCGGTTGTGTGTCTTTTTAAAGAATAATTATTATTTTAAAAGATATCTCTGATTTGTTTGATATTAACCTAGTAATTCACTGGAGTGGCTCACCTGCACCCTCTTTGTAGCTCAGTGTGTCCTGGTAATCGGACCTCAGATTAGAACTGGGTCAGGACAAAACCCCTGAATAAGACTCAGATTTTTCTCTTTCTTTGCATGCTACAATTGTTTCATCATTTATTGACAACCATGCAAGCCCAAATTTATAGTATTTCCTTGTTCGTGTTCCTTAAAGGATGCTTTGGACATAGCTTATCCTAGCAAAGTATGCATTGCATTTCTTGTGTCTTGATGTACTTCATATATATATATTTATTATTGACCGAGCATGAGGTCATTTTTCTCCTCTTCCTCTTAGACATAAGTTAAAAGTGGTGCATGTATATTTCGCAGAAAATGTAAGAATTAGTGTGAAGCATGAAATTCTGGTCATCATTACTGTGTATACTATTGCCATACAAGATGTTGATCCAGAACCTTGCTCTCTACTTTAGAAGCAAACCAGTGCAAATCAACAAGTCAACTGACTCACTGCACTTTAAACATGCTATTATTGTGTTGAGTTGTCAGGCTCAATTCTGAATTGTCTTGTGCTTAAGGCGCCTGAAGCTCAATAGCAATGCAGGTATTTGTTGAAACATTTGAATCAGTTTTTTCATGCTACTTATAGTCTGGTACTTTGCACCTTTGCACCATTGATATTGATCATTATGCATAAAAAGCTTGACTTGTAAGTTAAGCATGAGAGGGAAAATAAGGGTTGTGGTAACAATTAGTTATTTGTAGCAATAGCAGCATCTCTATTCACATGTTTGCCCCATTTTGTATCCTTTTTTTTACTTGATTACTTCTTACAGTGTCAGACCTTCCCCCAGAACAAAAACCAAGCAAGTTCTCTGCATTAGAACACCATTGATAATAAAAATAACAACAACAATAGTTATTTGTTGCAGAAATAGTGGATTGATAATTATCACATAGATGTATAACAAAGAAAATTTTTTTTCCAGTTATATAGTCATGTATGTGTTGGCTCTACTAGTAAAGACTCTAACTTTTGCTTGTCATAGAGTAGTGTGAACAAAATCAAAGTATGTAAAATATTTGTGGTCTATGATTTCATCACTGGATTGTGTGATCAAGGGTATATTAGCAACTAACCACTGGTACCCTCCAGAATGAATCCTGCTTTTCTAACATGTGTAAATTTCGTGATACTATGGAGACTTCATACCTAGGAACCTGCCTGCCAATAATAAGGAAAAGCAAAAAACAATGTTTGAAGAACCATACTGATGAGAATGCATCACTGTGTACCTCTCCACAAATTCTGCCCAGTTATTATCTAAGCCTATTCTGTTAATTAAAAATCGTGGTGATTAGTCAGAAGTTTTCACTGCCAAATAATTGTTTTGACTTTCTCTTCCTCAATATTTGCATGAATTAACAGCATAAACCTGCTCTAACAAATAGTTGCATTTGCATAGCCATTTTTTCTTTCATTTCTTTATCGTTAATTTCGATTCCGAAAAAAGGTCAATTCACTGTTTAGCTGCCCCTGAGAAAAAGTATCAAGAATTCCCAGGAAGAAGAATTTTTATTACCCTCTCGCAACCACAGGTTTTCTGCTGTTTCCTTCTGATAGTCAAATTCTTAGCATTGATATAATTATGATTCAGCGCCCTGATTACCCTGCAATTAACACCACTATTATTGAAATATACAATTATTATTTTTTAATCATGTTATCATTATTATTATTATTATAATTGATATTAATCCTCGTGGTCCGTTGACAATCCAACATTTTACCTCTGATTCTAAAACCAAAACTAAGTGCGTTCATCAACACGCGGGCTATCATGCTTCATGTGTAGTTTAATGATTTCATAGCACCACCCATTTTGTTTGAAAAATTCCTCCGTGAGATTTTATCGGTACTCTTTTTTCGTTTACAACATATCGCATGTCGGGAAAATTGCAAGGAAGAGTGCGTATAAGTGATTATTGAAACCGTTCATAACAGCAACACCTGCCCTTATCTGTGGAATTGGTACGTCACTCTTAAAAAAATATATATTTACACGGCTTTACGTAAAACACAATTTTTGTTATTGATTTAGCAACTTTTATTTCTGCAACATACGTCTTGCCATCTGTGCTGTCTGTTATTCAAGCTGGACTCTTCATCGTGGTCATTATTATTAACAGTTTAGCGTCGAATTTAGGCGCTGGCTTTCATCTTATTGGGCAATTTCTCCTCTTGTGGAGTTTCCTTGTAGTGTTACTTCACTGATCATACTTTATCATCTTCTAACTGTTCATATACATATACAATTATTGTTATTTTTTGGATAAGATCTTGCTGGTTGTTTTTCTGTCACAGATGTAAAATCAACTGATAGAACTCCATTGTATGTGCTTTTTTCAAATTTGTATTTATAATCATTGCTCGCTATTTTAATTCGTGGCAAATGTACGTAATTAAAATGTGTAACTTTTATTCTGCGGCAGATTTGATTTTATTGTCCGTTCCCTTTCTGGCGACGTCCGCCATGAAAGATATAGCTGTGGCATAAGTTGTGGCCGGCCTTTTTTCCGATTTGCTTTAAAAAGCTTACCACGTTGTA